AAGTAGATCAGCGAATGTTTCAATCAGAATCTATTGTAATTTTTACACTGTTCTGGTGAGCAAACATTATTGGTAACGATGAAACCAAATTAATTGTGAATAATAATTGTTGATAAAAATATATCTGTAATGATTGTGTCGTCCCATTAAATATTTAATTACCTGTAAAGTGATGAGAACGTAATATTTATCATGCAATAATCTCTGCTGAATGATCATGACATAATCGCAAGCGTGCCTTAAATTACATAATTATTGATTATATCTGTGATTAGCAAAAACGTACCGAAAATATCGTTCGGATAAATTAGGAGAGCTATCAACACCACTAGAAGCGTTTTTTGTCGATCCACCATTTTGTCACAGTCGCCGATCCACCTGGAACAACGTGAGAGAATCCAATTAAACACACGCGACAGGTAACAAAAGGTATCATATTTAATTAATTGCTTTACTCTTTATGACGGAATGAAATTCTTAACCGTGCGCATTTAAAATTCGCCATTGTTATCGCGCTTTGATTAAAAACGTTCATGATCTTTGATCACGGCCGAGAATTTCGTTGCATACTGAACGAATTCGGGGTCTCTCGAAAATATTGAGCAAATGGAAACGAATTAATTAACGTATGCTCGAAGCGTTCGCGAATTATACTCTCGAGTATAACTGTTCGAAAATTTGTAGACACGTCGTCGACCCACTGTTGATGAATTAATTAATACGGAATTACTACATAAATTGCAGTAAGAGTCAAAGGTCGGGGCTAGTCGCCCGACCGGATTCTGATTGAATTGCGAAATATTGGCTGAAAATCCGAAAGCTGCGTGAATTTAATTTCGATTCGTGTTCGTCGGCGCTGTGAAAAGAGTCCGGCTAAAAGTGAAAAATTTTATGGTAATAGTAATGTGATTCGATGCGAATGAATGGAGCCGGTAACCCGAAAGTAACTTTAAACCGAACCGAAGCCACAACCTGCTGGGGGGGGATTACTCCGAAAGGATCTGGCATTGGGTTATTATTCTTCATTAGTTACTTAAGGGAATAGCGAAACTACGGTCTTTAACGGCTGATCGATGAGATATTGATTATACCTTTTGATTTAGGAGCCTTCAATCATCCAAATATCAAGAAGTTCGAGCAAATACACTATCCGTCAGATCGGTGACACGGTGACACTTCTTGTATCATCGCGATCGGAACCACGGAATAATCAAACATGATTTTCTCCTAAATCGTTTCCTATAGTGTGTGTGCTTTGTATTTTTCATTGGATTTTGCAGTTTAAATTATCCAGCAATCATATTAAAATATCGAATTTTAATAGCATAGAGCGATTCATGAAGCTTTGAATGGGAAGCTCGTTCCGTTTTTTATTAATTATTCCGTATTAATTAAATTAATACTGTCACTGCCACGTCAGTGATATAAGAGTGACAAAATTTTCTTATCAAACTGGAAATTCAATTATAGTATAGAGAACACACCAAAGTTTCTTAGAATATACAAAGTGCAAGAGGATAGTTGAGGTAATTGCTATAACAAATCTCGCGTTCTCTATTCTTATATTATGAAATATAAAAATAATATTATATTATGAAATATAAGAATAATTATAATAATTATAAGAACGATTATAAGCCCTAATTATAAGTAATTATAAGGCCTTTTATTAACTGCTAAAAGTCTATTTTGAAGAAATCTGTTATAGACATTTCTTCTTTTTAAATAAATAAATAATAATAAGCGAAAAATAATAACAGTGGGCACGTTAGTATTGAACTTTATTGATTTCCTTACGGAAATCGGTCCATTTCCGTGAACCTCTCATACCATACAATAAAACAAAATAGATCAAATAAAAGAAGAAAATGAAGTAAAATAGAGCAGAATAAAATACGATAAAATAAAATACAATAAATTGAACTCAGTTCTGTCCGTCTTCGAAGTGAGATGAAAATAATACATTTTTCATACATTCAATAATATTTATTGTACAATATAATTGTCGTCGTCGCTTATGTCCTCCTTCCGCCGTGATGGCAATTTTTAAATACCATTTTTAGAAAATATATGTCTGAAACGAGCATGTGCACACGTATTGAAACTTGAAATGACATTATCGGACAGAACTTTCCGGTAGACCTAATACAACGGAGTAGTCACGTCAGTACTTTACTGGCCCCGTTAGTCAAACATTTCTGAGCAACCAAAAAACGAAGCTTCGAACGAATAAAATCATAATCAAATAAGTGCAAACAAATAAACGGAATTACATTTGTAACTCAATGAAGTGTATAGAATATTCCAGCTTTGCTTAAAAGATAAAAGGCACGCGGTGTTCCAAATATTTCCAAATATCCCGAAAAGTGACAAACCAGCAGATAAGACATTTTGACCAAGGACAGCAGTTTACTCGAACCGAGACGAATTTACTCCAAAATTTGAACACTGCCGGCATAGTATCAGTGTTTCACATCGACCGACAATCACGGGATATTTCTCGGGCATGGGCTCAACGCCGTCGACCGCGATTACGCGATTTTTCTGGCGAGAGCTGCGAGCGTTTCGCTTGTCGCGGCGTGTCTACAGTCGGCTGCATCATTTCCCGCGACTCGTTACGTCTTCTGCCGCGTAATGGTCCTTCTCAGCTCAATGGAATGATTTCCACACGCCGTGCTACAACGTCGCCGCGCGTTTCTTCAAACAAAGGGGCTTGTTTTAAGCAAACGAAGCAGCGGCATGGGACCACCAACCGAACTCCCCTTGAAAGGGAAGGCTTGAAAGCGTCGTTGAAACATGAATCTTCTCTCGGGCACTTCCAACAATTACGTAAATGGCGAATAATAAAAAAAAAGAAACTGCAGACGGAGTCGACAGGGAGAGAGAGAGCGCGCGCGAGAGGGAGGAAGAAAGGGACGTCGTTTAAAAAGTTTAAATGAAACCGAACCGCGGGCTGATAAGAGGCTGAGGTACACCGTTGCTCTAAGAAACTCGCCAGATGCAAGTTTAGATAGAAAAAGTGGCCGCGAGTGTGTCTCAGGGTAAGGATTTGATTCTTGGTAATCGGTTGCTAGTGAACGCTTAAATGCCGGCGATCCGAGTGTTTGCCAAGAAACTGCGAATCGCGGGGAAACTTTCCGAAATACTTGGGAATCAGTTCTCGACACTGCGAACAGCAACGCTCCCTTCGTTATCGCCATCCCGAACATCCGGGACGTAATTACGCCTGCTTTTGAAGGACATCAGGAGCAACGAGTGTCGAAATTGGAAATATTTACGGCGCGCGGTGGGCCGAAGCGGCGAAGTTCTGTCAAAATCAAAGAACTTTCGACAGAAATTAGATAAACCGATGATATATTTCACTTTTATGTTGGGACTGGAAACGTTGAAGAATAAAGGTGAAAATAAGGAGAATGCAATACAATGGAATCCCGATTATATTCTGTAAAAATATCGATTTCAGTGAAAAGCTAAAGAAATCATGACTTTTTCGTTCGAACGTTTCGATAACGCGCTGATTATTTTTCGAAAATCCGTTTTCGGGATTATTTATTTTCGACATTAGATGATATCGACTGTTGCAAACTTCGCAGACATAGCAACATCTTTGAAGAATCTTAAGAATCTTTGAGAAAGAATCGAGATCTTTGAAGCACTGACGCTATGATATAAAAAGGAAATTTAATCTGAACGAAATCTTTAGTAGAAACAATTTCAAAAAGCGCAGAAAATTGCTGGCGCAAAATCGACGAATGCAATATCATCTAATTTTTATCGATACATTTAATCAATCAATTTCTATCAATGAATAACAAAATTTGGAACAACCGAATACACATCAGCAAATGTTAAATCTATTGAAATGCATGCAATTGTTGGAAATACGTGATTAAATCATTCGCGACGGATATTTTAAGGAAACGATCATTTAATTGAAATTATTTTCTGACAGCCAACAACGAGCAACAAATAAAACAAGACGAAACAAAATACCTAGAATTAATAGAAAATTAATAGAAATATTATCGAGATTTCGTGGAACGATTTGACAGCGATGCTAATTCTTTGAATCAGTTTTTCGATTCTCATTCTATTATTCGATTCGACTTGCAGCGTTTACTGATCACACAAGGAATAGTAACATTGGGTTTGAATTTCAGCTAACAAGAAGCCAACACGCTGCTGTCTGCTGAACAGTCAGTTCTCTGCAAACAATACCCCAGATGCAATTACGTATATACACGTCGATTATTGTGCAATGAATCGATCATCCCCCTGAGGATTCGGCTGATATAAAAGGTCATTGTGAATGGATTCGCAGAATGCATAACTTGAATGAAACCGCTTTTCCGATGATTAGTTTACGATTACATTAAACTTTCCAATGCTTCCACTTACATTGTAATAGTTCTGCATGGTGAATAACGTTGAAAATTATTTGAAAGTGCATCAATACATAAAATTGCTTGTGCTATCGATATTAGTAATTCATTGTCTGATTTATAATGATACGTTTAAAACAACGATCCTAAGTGATATAAACAATTTTCATTTTATTAACAAAAGCTTTTTGCAAACATCTATTCGTAATTGTTTACTGAATCTTCCGACGAATATTTTAATTATTAAACGCGATGACTATTGTCACGAGAATTGTTATTAATCGCATATCTTTCTTATTCACTTTTCTAGCGCGACAAATATTTGTCTATAGACTCTTTAGTAATTAGAACTCCATAGAATCACTACATCGTTTATAAAATTACCGCACGATATTTCTATGCACGTTTGTGTGCAGCGAAAATTCTTGCGCAAAATGAAACGTTTTCTGAAATTTCATTTCGATCTTATAATTTTAATAAATTGCAACTGACATATCGAAGTTCTTTCTCGCTGATTCATTTTTTTCCGGAAAAGAATAAAATGTGAAGCTCGATAATTAAACATCGCCGAAATCTGTAATAACGATGTTGCTGTAACTGAAGTATTATAATGTTCCGCGTCTCTCTCGAAAAAGATTTGGAGAAAAAGTGATTTAAAATACCAGTCTTCGTGTCGGAATTTAAATGTTAATGCAAATTAATTCGAACAATTTACGAACGTACGGGCATCATACGTTTCGCATTACCTTGAACGCTTGAAGCCTTCCAGTATATTACAAGTGCAATGTAAATATTCGCTGAAGCCACGGCAACGGGGACCGGTAGTACACGGTACACGCACGATACAGTTTTATCTGTTCATATTTATGGCAAAAATATTGAAATGTTTCCGCGGCTGAAAAAGTAACTCGCACGGTTGTTCATCGCGGTTTTAAAACGTGTCAAGATTAACGCGCATCGCTCCGGCACACAGATTACAATCTCACGTGTTCCGAC